GTTATCCAAGTAGGAGACAACTGAAACAGGAGGCCCCTTGCTATTGTAACGGCATGTTGGTTTGACAATTTTGCATGGCATGTTGTGCTTGCATATGTGGGTTGACCCACAGACAATTATATTGATATAGAGTGTATTGAAGGAATCTTGAGGGAACATGGAAAAGCTGCTCTAAGAGATATTAGGAGCTGGGTGCATTGCCTCCTTGGAGAATTTTTTTTTTTTTTCTGTTTCTGTCGATCGCAGCTTGCTTGTGTAGATATAGAACTGAGGCACGAGTCTTGTTTCATGTGGATGTGAGACCTAGCCTTGTAAAGAGCACAAGTTGTTTGCTGTTTGGAGGCTTGGGTCCTTTGCACTTGACTGATATAATGCTGCATGACCAAAGCATACGATGATTACAAAAATAATATAAGCATTGTAGCTTGCAAATGACTAACATAATTGACATAAGCATGCCAAGCAGGTATTGTTTTAGTACTGAGCATGCATAGTTGGCACCCATGATCAACACAAAGGTGGATCAATACAAAATGATAAGGAGTATAAGATAAGTGAATAGTGCATGGAATAAGGCCCTGAGAAAGTTTGCTGGAGATGTAAAACTGAAATACATATTAAATATGGATCACTCCACTTGAAGGATAGATCAATATGCTTGAATGATATATTAATTCAGATTAACAGTGCAAATGAATTAAGCTTGGATTGCAAAGGTGAAGTTTTTTTCTGAAAAAGATATATATAATTAAGACTTGATTAAAATAATAACCAAAACAAGCGATAATGTGTTTTTAGCAGTGTGTAACTTCTACACGGCATGATCCACAAAAGTAACTTTATGGAGCAGATAATAGCATGCTCCATATAAATAATATACTGCATAGCCATAAGTAGGCTGATAGAATAGCATGTGTTAGTCAAAAGGTGATGTGACTATTTGACTCAAGCACTAAAATGATACAATATAATAATACAAGTGGTAAGTGAATCAATATATAATACAAAAATGATGCAAGCTGTGCACCACATACTGCATCACAGTACAATAATAGTAATTAATCAATCAATCCTTTTTTACTTCGGCAGACCAAACGGATGTGCTTTTGTCTATGCTTAAGACAACTCAATGAAACATAAATTTTATGAATATATTATAACAGTAAACCAATATATATGCTATATTGAGATCAATGAGGCAAGATAAAAAATCTTATCTTGCTAAAGCAATTCGCAGAGATGAGGCTTAGAGTATTGAGCAAGTGTTCCTCCTCCCTTTCTCATCGTGCTTGCACAGCTCTAGAGAGGTGAGACCTGCCACGAAGGTGATTTACGGCGATGGCCAGATTTGCTGATGATGTTTCATGGTGGGGAGGTGACAACGGTGGTCAGCGGCTTGCATGTTGGCTGAAGCCCCCAGTATGTGAATGTTGAGCTCAACCTTCTTCTATTCAAGTTTTTGATTCTCTTCATGTAAATTTGGCTTGATTGATTTGCTTGGCATGTTGTAATTTCCTTCTCGGCATGTTGCATGAGTCTGAATGGCACCATGTTTTAACATGGGTAAGCCCCCCAAGAGGTTGTGGTCTCAAAAAGGCATAGTGTTTGGCAGTGAATTGCAAAATTGATTTTTGACAAAGGCTAGGTGTGCTGATTTCTAGTGGAAACTCAGAGGTAGATGGCTTGTTGAGTTGGCAGTACTTGGCTTATTTCAAAAAGGGGAAATAGAAAACTGTTTGTCATCATAATGCATGATTGTCTAGGCTTGTTGTAATCAAAGAGATGATTTATATTGTATGGCAAAAGGGTGGATGGGTTTGCTTGTTTGGATGGCATGGTGTCCTTCTTTGAATTTGCTTGGCATAAAGCCCCCAAGTCAGCTTGTTGGGGTCAGCAATTGGTTGCAGAGTTGGGTTATGTTCTCTTTGGCTTACTCAGGGTCGAGAAACAGAGTAGAGGCCTGCTTGTATTTTTTTTTTCCTCCTGCAACTTGCTTCAAAGAAGATCTTTGGAAGAAGCAAACTAAAGATAAGAAGGATTAGGCGAAGCGAGTTGCTGGAAGAGATACACACAGCCTGTTTTCCTCCAGATAAGTAACAAATAGTTTGCTTTCCTCCAAGAGGAAAATTGAAATTTACAGCAACTTCTGGATTCTTGTCTCGCTCTTTTGCTTGGCATGAAGCCCCCAAGTCATTTGGAGTTTGCATGTGTAGTTTGCTATGATGGATTTGCCTAAGCCCTCATAGGCCTTTCGCAAGATGCTTTGTCTGAAAAGGTATGTCTACAACATAAGAGAAAACATTAGAAATGCTTTTGCATCCTTTTTTATTTTTCCAGAACAACTTAACAAAGCAAAATCAAAGAGAATGCTCTTATCTTCAAATTTTCTTGTAGTGCAGTTGCATAAATACTGACTTTACAGCTTGTGATTTTTCAGGAGCCACTACAACACTAATGGCCTAGTCCCCAGCAGAGTCGCCATTTATGTTGGGGTCTTTTTCATCGAAAGGCTCGTATAAGCTTGTTGATTCTCGAACCGTCATGGTGGATCAAGCCTTCGTTGCCCCTTTTTCTGAGTTAGCGAGGACTAGGCTCAAAGTATCCCGAGGGAGAAGCAAGTCCCAGGGGAGTACTTTGTTTTTCTTCCAGTGGCTGTGTGTTTTGTGCTGACGTTTCCGGCAGCTTGACGAAGAGTTGAACATGTTGAACTGAGATTATGTGAGCTTGGCATGAGAGCTTGGAGTGTGGGAGCTAAAGATCCACGAGTTTAGCAAATGAGAATGCATGTGCTTGGCTTGGTGTTGGATATGCTTGAGTTTGAGCGTTGATAATTTGTTGTTTGTGGCTATGGTGTTTATAGCTTGGAAGGAAGGGAAAGCTTGGAGTTATGCTTGGTGAGGCTTTATGGATTTAAGAGTTTCAAGAGAAGGATAATGGGAGGAAAAGCTTGAGGTTTGAAGGCTATGGTGTTTATAGCTTGGAAGGAAGGAACATGGTTTGATGGTTGCTGGGGTGCTTGAGCAACCAAGAGGTGTTGGTCGATGGCTGCTGGGATACTTGCAGCAGCCAAAGGATGAAGGTTGATGGCTGGGATTGCCGCTGGAATGCTTGCAGCAACTGAAATGAGGAAGGAAGATAAGTTCTCATGGTTGCTGAGAAGCTTGCAGCCACCAAGAGAAAACTGATTTTGCCCAGCAAATGCCTCTTAATTTATAGAAGGTGGGGGTTTTCCTTTATTTCCAATAGGCAAAGAGAGGCGCTGGAACTAGCCTATTTCCAATGGGTAAAAGGGAGCGCTGGGGCATGCTATTTTCCAGCATGCGAAGCTAGGTACCATAAACTGATTATTTCCTACGGGTAAAAGGAAGCGTTAAAAAAGGCTTGTTTCCAGCTGGTAATAGGGAGTGCTGGAAAAGGCTTGTTTCCAACGCGTAATAGGGAATGCTGGAAAAGGCTTGTTTCCAATGGGTAAAACTAGGTATTTGGAAAATGAATATTTCCTATGGATAAAAGGAAATACTTGGAAAATATCTCATTTGCTTACCCACATTGGAGAACTCTGAGTAATGGGCTTGGACTTTGGTGCTCCCTGATCGGTGCATATTTACATATCATTTTGTACCCTTCTAATTTATGATTTGGTTATGTTTTTGAGTTAAACTCGTGCTTTTAATAAGTTTTGTGTTTATTTCAGTGTGATAAGCTTGAGAATCACTAATTGCATTTTGGAGACAAGTTAGTTCAAAACGGTGTCTGCAGATCAGTCAACTTCACGGATTGGACTGTACTTCCTCAAGAAGAACCAGATGATGAGCCATACATTATTGGAAAGATACGGAAGTCTAGTTTCTGTATAATTTTACGGTTCATGATTCCGAGTCTTCTAGAGAAAGTTATACATGTTTAGGCAACTTAAGGTCAAATTCGGCAGCATCTGCGTTACTGGGCCAAAAATCACATTTGAAGGGCTTTCCGATTTTTCCTTGAGCTGGGCTGCATATGCTTGGAAAGATAAGACAAAGAGCTTCAAGAGCCATATTTTTCCAGATTTTTCAGATTGGAGCCACAAGCCCAAAACGAGCCCACAAGCTGGCTGCAATGCATTGTCATGCATGACATATGCATGATGAAGTGTTGTTGATTGTGGGAATGTTTGGTGAAGCATATTCAATACCTATTTTTGAGTGGAATTTTGCAGCAGCCAAATGAATTAATTGAAGTTGAATTGGATGATGCAACACTAAGCTTAATGACAAGAAGAATTGTTTTCAAAATGCATTAGTGTGTTAGGTGAATTAAGTGTTGTAAGTTGGTGAAGTGAGTGTGGTTAGTGAACTCTATTGTATAATGCAGATTTTCACTTCCCCTAGGCCTATAAATAGGGAAGTTCTCTAAGCTTGTAAACACACCCCAAGGGGGGGAGCTCTCAAACACTTCTCTAGAGCTCCCCTCCCTTCTCTCCCTCAAATTCTCTTAATTTTCCTTTCTAGTTCTCAATTCTAGCTTTCCTTTTACTTCTTAGTTGTAATTTATTTTTCTTTGTAATGTAAATTCTTTTCTTAAGTTTTCAAGTTGAATTAGTTTCCAAATTTCAATTATGGTTTTTGTTCTTATTCATTATGCTTATAAGTTAATATGCTAGTTTGAATGATTGATCACCATTTAGGCTTGCAAGTTAGCTATCTTGGTTTGAATTAAGAGTATACACCATGCTTTAATTCGAATTGAACTACGAATAGGAAGAGTATGTATGGACATTCGACAACAAGGATTAGATACATACTTGGTTGTTTAAAATGTTCTTCTATGCTTAATGGGTTCCTAATGCTTAATTTTAGGTTAGACAACAAATGATCAAATTAGGGAATTAGGAACACAAGGTTATGACCACACACCATGGCTTAACCATACTTTAGCTAGAATCAATCCATTAATCTAATTGAACTTGGGAACTTATTTGCTTGAGTTACTTTCTTATTTTCTTTTTTCCTTCTCATGTTCTTTGTTTTTGTTTCTGTTTTGTATAGGGAAAATGAATTGGATCATTCAATCCCCAATCCCTGTGGAATCGACCTCGCAATTACATATGTTATACTACCGAACGGCTCGTGCACTTGCGAGTATCACAACTTGAGGATGCAACTGAATCCATTTTGGTGCAGCTGAAATCCACACAACTCCCAAGTAGCTAGCCCAAAGTCTCCATTATCCAAGAGCATCCGTGGGCCTTGTGGACCTCCATAACCTTCCACACCACAATCCCTCATGCAAGCCCCGTAAACCACATGACTTGGGTTCATGTGAGCTTGATAAGTGATTAATATATTAATTAATTCCCAAAATACAGTTTGGATTAATGCATGACCAACATTATATTTTATATCGGGCCTTAAATGTCTTTGGGCTTCTCGTGACTTTTTTGGGCCTCAACA